TCATCCAGCTCTACACCTTGTTATCATAGGAATGCTCTCTTGACTTCACAGTATTCCCTTTTAAACACCCTCAAACCTCTGCATTTAACTTTGGGGGTATTGCAACCAAACAAATGTTAACTTTTATTTAAATGAGCAAGCTGCTACAGGAAATGCCACAGGTGGAGATAGTATACTATTAACATTAATAAGGTCCAGCTACAATCTGTGCCTCCCATTTGAGATGCATATTGTGACTGAATCACTGCCTTTATGTCTGAAACCAGGAGGTGGCAAAACTTTAATCTGAGCATTCTTTTTGTTTTTTGACAGAAATGCCCCATGTCAAACAGCCTTGTGTTAAACAATCTTTGACTCCTGCTAAAACCTCTGCTGTGTGTCTGACAGAAGATTTTCAAAAGACTACTGAACCCAAAGATTTATCAGAAAGGTAATATGCAACTAGCTGCATCGAGTTAATTGTCTGAGTCAGAAGCCAATATTCTTGTTCATGAATTGTATATATAAATTGCATACAGTCACATTGAATGGCATTTCAATTTTAGAATATTATACATGACAATTGGACTCACCATTACTCTCCAGTACTGTTTTTGTCTTTATTTTCCAAGGACATACAAAATAGGAGAAATAATTTAGCCCAACTGTTTCAATATGTGAATTCCTAATTGAGTGACAAAATATAAAGTGGAGGTAATGGTGCAGTGGTATTATCGCTGGACTGTTAATCCAGAAACCCAGATAATGTTCTGGGGACCCAGGTTTGAATCTCGCCATGGCGGATGGTGGAATTTGAATTCAACAAATATGTGGAATTAAGAATCTAATAATGACCGTGAATCCACTGTTGATTGTCGGGAAAAACCCATCTGGTTCACTAATTTCCTTTAGGGAAGGAAACTGCCATCCTTACCTGGTCTGGCCTATGTGTGATTCCAGACCCACAGCAATGTGGGTAATTTTAAACTGCCCTCTGGCCACTTAGGGATGGGCAATAAATGCTGTCTAGTCAGTGACGCCCTCATCATGTGAATGAATAAAGAAATAAAATCTGCTTTATTCAGTGTTGTAATACAATTTAATTGTGCTAATAACTTCAAATTATATTTCATCTTCTTCATCATCTATAGTACTGGAGGTTGGTTAGCTCAGTTGGCTGGATGGCTAGCTTGTAATGTAGAGTGATGCCAACAGTGTGGGTACAATTCTGGTGCTGGTTGAGGTTACCATTGAGGGACTCTCCTTCTCAACCTCTTCCCTTGCCTGAGGCATGGTGACCCTCTGGTTAAACGACGACCAGTTATATCTCTGTAATGAGAGAGCAGTCCTATGGTCTAGGAGGATTGTGGCAACTTTATTAATTATACTTCTATGACATTGATTAGAGAATATGATGATCTGTAGAACAAGTCATTATTCTGTTTTGGTGCATAATATAAATACAATTTAAGACTAGATATAATTTCTGTAGATTCTTTAAATGAAGGTTAAAAATCAGGTTATGGAATGGAACCCTGATTTTATTTATTTGACAGTTCAATTAAAACATTTGAAGATGTTGTGAACCTGGTATCTTCTTGGACAAAGGGTTCTAAAACTCATAGATTATTAATTTCCATGGTGCCAGAGATTAATACCTGTTTGAGAGAGACTAGTGAGAACTGGTGGGAATGGACAACTGATGGGATCCAATCACTTCCGTCTCAAGTAACCTTTACTGGGATTTCATCTAAGGATCTAAGTAATAGCAGCTAATCCTTATTGCAGCTGGATATACAAGTAGGAAACAGAACTGGTGAAGTGGCATCATCTGCCAAAATTCTCACTGGTCCTGGCTTTTATGCCTGCCATGCATGCAAAATAATGGTATAAAGGAGAAAAGATCCCGTGTAGAGTTCCCAGTTTGGTTTGTGAATTAAAACATTGGATGAAGACAAGCAATGGCCTTTCAGTAAACAGCCTGGGAATAAAAAAAAGGACCTTTTGGCTTTGCAGTCAAACAACTCTAATTTTTTTTCTTCCGTCACCACCTAATAGGTGCTCCAGGTACCACTGGTATTGATGCAAGCTTTAGCCAGTATTATGCAAATGCCCTAATCCTGAAAGCTTCAGGGCCAGGCACATCTTCCATTTGTGATAAATGGAGTAGTGAAAGATAGGATTGCAGTTTTTCATTGTTTTAAGTATATTGTGCCTTCAGCACGTACTGCATGCAACTGGAGAAAATACTGCAGTGGTTAAATATGTGGTAGTGAGCAGTGGCATGTTAGCAACTCCTCAGACACTGAAGCAACCTTTATTCCTCTGCAGAAAGATCTGGATAAAATTCCGGCTCGGTTTGATAAGCAACGAGTAGCATTTGTGCTCCACATGTACTAGGTAATGACCAGTTTTAATTGAGAAAACCTAAGCACATCTCCTTAACATTCAATGGGATTACTATGGCTACCACTATCCGAATCCTATTACTATTGACCAGAACAGAATGGGACCAGCCATATAAAAACTGTGGCTACACGTGCAGTTCAAAGGCTAGGAATTCTGTGGTGAGTAACTTGCCTCCTATTTCCCCAAAGTCTATATGCTGTCTCCAAGTCACAAGTCAAGAATGTGATTAAATATTTTGCATTTGCCCAGATGAAACTCACCATCCAGGACATGCCAACTGGCTTCATTGAATGCAAATCCTACACTTTAAAAATTCACTCTTTGAACATGCACTGACAGCAGTGTACCATACAAAAGATGCATTGCAGTAACTTGCCAAGACTTCTTTGACAGCACTTTTGAAACCTCTGATCTCTGTCACCCAGGAGGACTAGGACAGCAGACACATGGGAACATAATCACTTGCAAGTTCCCTCTGCTTTGCAAGCCAACTATCCAGTTTATCTGAGATAACGAGGTGTAGAGCTGGATGAACACAGCAGGCCAAGGAGCATCAGAGGAGCAGGAAAGCTGACGTTTCGGGTCTGGGCCCTTCTTCTGAAGAAGGGTCTAGGCCCGAAACGTCAGCTTTCCTGCTCCTCTGATGCTCCTTGGCCTGCTGTGTTCATCCAGCTCTACACCTTGCTATCTCAGATTCTCCGGCATCTGCAGTTCCTACTATCTCCTATCCAGTTTATCTCTCCTCTCCAGGCACCATCTTCATGTACGCTATTCTTTACCTCACCCTGTAATCAGCATTGAGCTATTCCAGCTATTTTCAATTTTGAGGAAAGGTCACTGGACTCAAAACGCTAATTCCATTTTTTGCTCTACAGATGCTGCCACAGCTGCAAAGTTTACCCAGTACTTCCTGTTTTTGTTTCAGATTTCCAGCATCCACAGTATTTTGTTTTTATTTATTGACAAAAAATTTGTTGGTGCAGTTGGCAGACAGGCAGCAAATTAACTTTGATGTGGAGAAGTGTGAGATGGTGCAATTTGGTACAAATAACATGGAGAGACAGTGTAATGTAAAGGGTGCTACTGTAGACTGCGCAGGATCAGAGAAACCTGGATGCATATATGCACAAGTTATTACAGGTGGCAGGACAATTAGAGAGAGCTGTAATTAATCATAGAAACATAGAAAATAGGAGCAGAAGTAGGCTATTTGGCCCTTGAAGGCTTTTCATCTGTTTATTTGATCATGGCTGATCATCCAACTCAGTATCCTGTTCACATTTGTCCCCACATCTTTTGTTCCCTTTAGCTCTAAGAAATAGATCTGTCTTCTTCTTGAAAAAATTAAATGTTTTGGCCACAACTGCTTTCTGTGGAAGGGAATTTCACAGGCTCATCACTCTCTGGGTGAAGAAATTTCTCCTGATTCAATCCTGAATTGCCTATCCTGTATTCTTAGACTGTGACCCCTGGCCAGGACTTCCCAATCATCAGGAGCAACCTTCCTGCATTTACCTTGTTTAGTCCTGTTCAAATTTTTAGGTTTTTATGAGAATCCCCCCCTTGTTCTTTTAAGCTCCAGTGAATACAGTCCTTACTGATCCAGTCTCTTTTCATATATCAGTCCTGCTATTCCAGGGATCAGTCCAATAGCATCAGCATACAGTACGCTAGGGCTAGGCTTCATAAATAAAGGCATACATTACAAAGTCAGGGCAATTATTATGAATTTATAAAAGACAATGGTTAGAATGGACTATCACACAGTACAGTAGAATGCAATACAACACAGGAACAGGCCCTTTGGAACACCAAGCTTGCGCTGATTCCTCATCCTTATTTTTCAGCCGTTACTTGTTGCCCATGTGCAGTATCTATCCCTCTGTTTGCCTCATGTTCATGTGTCTAGCAAGATATGCTTTCAACTTTGCTACTGTGCTTGCTTCCACCACCTCCACCAGCAGTGCATTCCAGGCACGCACCACCCTCTGTGAAAACTTTTCCCCGCACTTCTCCCCTAAACTTTCCCCCTCCCACCTTAAACAAGTGCCCTCTTGTAGTTGACCGTTTCACCCCAGAAAAAAGCCTGAAACTATCCACTATTCACGCCTCTCATAATTTTGTAGATCTCTATCAGGATTCTCCTCAGCCTCCGTCTTTCCAGTGAAAACAATCTGGGTTTATCTAACCTCCTCATAACTAAAACCCTCCAAACCAGGCAACATCCTGGTAAACCTTCTCTGCACCCTCTCCAAAGCATCCACCTCCTTCTGGTAATGTGGCAACCAGAACTGTACGCAGTATTCCGAAATGTGGCCTAACTAAAGTTTTATACAGCTGTAACATAACTTGCCAACATTTATATTCAATCCCCTGGCCGATGAAGGCAAGTATGCTGTATGCCTCCTTGACCACCTTATCCACCTGTGTTGCCACTTTCAAGGATCCATGGACCTGCATGCCCAAATACCTCTGTATTTCAATGCTCCCAAAGGTTCTGCCATTTATTGTATGATGCACACCTAAGTTTGATATTCCAAAATGGATTACCTCACATTAAACTCCATCTGCCATTTCTCTGCCCAAATCTGAAATCTATCCAAATCCCACTGTATCATTTGTCAATCCTCCTCATTATCTGCAACTCTACCAATTTTGGTGTTATCCGCAAACTTACTAATCAGACCACTGATATTTTCCTCTAGATGATTTATATATGTTACAAACAACAAAGGCCCCAGCACTGATCCCTGAGAACACCACTAGTAACTGATGTCCATTCCGAAAAGGACCCTTCTGTCGCTACTGTCTTCTATGACTAAGCCAGTTTTGCATCCATCTAACCAGATCACCTCGGATCCCGTAAGACTCAACTTCTGCACCAGCCTGCCATGAGGTACCTTATCAAATACCAGACTCAAGTCTATGTAGACAACATTCAGTGCCCTTCCCTCATCAATCATTCTTGTCGCCTCCTCAAAAAGCTCAACACAGTTGGTGAGACATGACCTTCTCGGCACAAACTCATGCTGCTTATCACTTACAAAGTCCATTCTCTTTCAAATGTGAATTAAAGCCTGTCTCTCAGTATCTTCTCCAACAGCTTCTCAACCACTGACATCAGGCTCATTGGCCTTTAATTACTTGGATGATCTGTTTCCCTTCTTAAACAAAGGAACAACACTGGCCATTCTCCAGACCTCTGGAACCTCACATGAGGGCAAAGAAGATGCAAAGATATCTGTTAAGGCCCCAGATATTTCCTTCCTTGCCTCCAACAGTATCCTGGGATAGATCCCATCTGGCCACAGAGTCACATAGCACAGAAACAAACTCTTCGCTCCAACCAGTCCATGCTGACCATAATCCCAAGCCAAACTAAACTAGTCCACCTGCCTTAACTTGGCCTCTATCCCTCCAAACATTTCTTATTTATGTACTTATCTGCATGTCTTTTAAACGTTGTAACTATATCCATATCCACCACTTCCTCTGGAAGTTCATTTCACAGATGAACTACACTTCTTATTAAGAAAATTTCCCCTCATGTCTTTTTTAAATCTTTTTCCGCTCACCTTAACAATGTGGCCACTAGTCTTGAAATTCCCCACCCCATAAAAAAGACACCTGCCATTCACCTTATCTATACCCCTAATGATTTTATAAACTACTATAAGGTCACCCCTCAACTCCTACACTCCAGTGAAAAAGTCCTAGTCTATCCAGCCTCTCCTTATAACTCAAACTGTCCATTCCCGGCAACATCCCGGTAAATCTCTTCTGAACTCTCTCCAGCTTAATAATATCCGTCTTATAACAGGGAGACCAGAACTGGACACAGTACTCCAGAAGGGGCCTCACCAACGTCTTGTACAACCTGAATATAATGTTCCAAGTCCTATACTCAAAGGTCTGAGTAATGAATGCTGTCATGCTACATGCATTCTTAACCACCCTATCTGTATGTGATGCAAAATTTAAAGAAGTATGTACTTCAACCCATAGGTCTGTCTGTTCTACAACACTGCCTAAGGCCCTACTTTTAATTGTACAAGTCTTGCCCTTGTTTGTTTTACCAAAATTCAATACCTTGCATTTATCCAAATTAAACACCATCTGCCTCTCTCAGCCCATTGACCCAATTGATCAGGATGTCTTTGTAATCTCAGATAACTTTCTTTGCTGTCCACTCGACCACTAATTTTGGTGTCATCCACAAACTTACTAACCATGCTTTCTATATTCTCATCTAAATCATTTATATAAATGATGACAAATAAAAGTGGACCCAGCACCCGGAACACCGCTGGTCACAGCCCTCTAGTCTGAAAAGCAACCTTCCACCATCATTCGCTGTGATATGCCCTGGGGTCTTGTCTACTTTAATGTATTTCAGGACACCCAACAATTCCAATTCCAGTTCAAAAGCTGTGAATACATTGGAAAAAGCACGGAAAATGTTTTCGAGAATGGTTCCAGAGATGAGACACTTTTTGGTAATGGGAAGAAATTGGAGAGTTGAGACTGTTTTCCTTGGAAAGGAGAATGGTAGGAGGTGATTTGACTGAAGTTTCCAAAATCATTCGAGGTCTGGATAGAGTGGATAGAGAGAAACTGTTGCTGCTCATAAACAGATCAAAAATCAGAACGTTCAGTTTTAAAGTGTTTTGCAAAAGGAGCAAATGCAAGGTGAGAGAAAATCCTTTTTACACAGCATGTAGTTGGAGTGTGGAATGCACTGCGTTGAAGAGTGGCGGAAGCATTCGTTTGAGGCATTCAAGAGGACTTTGGTGTTTATTTAAATAGAAATAGTGTGAGGCTTAGTGGCAAAAATTCAGGAGATTGACACAAAGTTACAATGGCCAGTGAACCAGTGCAAACACAATAGACTGAAAGGCCTCCTCTATACCATAACAATTCTGTAATTCTGTGAATTATTATACTACCAGAAGGACAGTAACAACTATACATCCAGTCTGTGGATCAAACTCTACTTTTGGTAAATCTGTATAGAAAAAGGAAGCATATTTCTAGTCTGCAAGTGACAAGGCTAACTGCATGAACTGAAATAAAGGGATATATTTACAAGTTGTTATTATTAGTGGAGAGTTGCACAATAGTAGTACATGTTAGGAGTTCAGATGCAGATATTATTGAACCTCATTTATAGATCACATAATTTAAAAACTAATTCTAATTGATTAAAACTGTGCATAGTGTGATGATTTTCATTCCTGAATTCTTGATGTGCAATTCAATTCTGTAAAGTTCAGTGCCAGAAGTGCTAAATTGTAAATGACTCCAAAGATTCAAATATTGAATGTAATACTTTGAATACTGCAAAGAAATCTCAGCTCAACTCTAAAGCATGAGAAGTCAATGGATACACTTAATGAGATGATTGTAATTTCCTGTATTGTAAACAGACATAAACAATATTTACAGTTACTTATTCTAATCATGTTTACACTTTGTTGAAAATCTGGAAACTATGGTATAACTTGCTAATCTCTATCCGGTTTGGATTTGTCAAGGAATGTGCTTACTGGAGTATACATACAATCTCTGAAGAGTGTTATTGTCCTTTATAATGATCCATTATCATCAATGCATCACAGATTTCCTCTCTTTTCACTGTTATCTCTGGTATAAATGTTATCTATTCCAGGAAGTTATTTGTTATGATTGCTTTTAGTGCCCCAACATATCTGAAATGCATTGCTTATAAGTAAAACTGCACGCCAGAAGCACCACATCTGGAAATTACCATTAAATTATGCTCAAAGACTTAAATAGATACTCAGGTAAGGTCGTGAAAGAAAAGAAGAATTTAAGGAGCAGCAAGGAATTTTGTAACCCTTTCTTACTTTGATTTGCAAAAAAAACAAAATCTGCATATGCTTTTCCATATACTATATGTATCTTATGACTTTCTGATCTTTACTGAATAAACAGCAACTCTATAACTTGTGTCCAACAGAACAATCAGGTATGTCAGTAAGTGTGGATAAAGAAACTTTTGTGGGTAGAAATAACACAATATTGTGTGTGAACTGATTGTGCTAACTTGCTGGAAACTTTTCCGTTTTTAAGTAGCATAGATCACTGTCATTTCAAGACATTCTCATTTGTACATGGGATGGTTGTTTGTATTGATTGTGAGGTTCAAGGCTTTTTGATGTTGGTACCTGAATGTTGCCTAAGGCCAAGTACAATGAAGCAGAGCTGGTTGCAAGATATGAAGAACTGAGTTGTGCGTAATTGACAAAACCCTGCTTGTTAGGTCTAACATACTGAAACTTGAGCCTGCAGTGGCATTTTTAAATGAAGAAATTCAGTAAAAAAGCTGGAGTTTTGCTAAACATGTATAGCTCTACTCCACTGGAACAATGATTCACAATCTTGGGCATCTGAAAGATGGGAGGATTGGGAAGAGGTTTGGAAAGAAGAGAAACACCAGCTATGATTTCTGTTCTTGGCCCTGCATTTCCCTGCTTTGTCACACAAAAAAAAAATCACTGAATATCAGAATGGCATCATGTGAGGTATAACAGGCAAACCCCTCCTCAATTCCCAGCACAATTGGCCACCAAATTTCTGCTTTAGGAGCTCCAGGAACGCTTAGGTTGGGAAATAGGGATATACAAGCATGAGTGCTATTACTGTAATTTGAATGATTTGGAGTTGGGAATCAAAAAATTCAACACTTTTAACAATTGTAGACGTCAAGAATAAATTTACTTAATGTGTCTGTGAATAGCAAATTAATATCAACAAAGGTAATTGTAAGCTGTTATATTTGGGCACAAATTGCTTGTAAGATAATGAATTAAAGGAACAAAGGGATCTAGAAGTATAGATCACTAAAAACAGCAACGTAGGTTAACAACACCATGAAAATGGATCATTTCTGGGGAGATAGACTTTAAAAGCAAAGAAATGATCTCTCACACACACTGTATTATGACTTTCACACTTTATACTTGTAGTACAAGAACATACTGCCTGACACGGCACTGATTTTTTTACCGTATCTTATTGATAATAAAATTGACTGTTTTAGCCGCATTTGGAGTACTGTGCATAGTTGTAGTGTTCACATTAAAGAAGTTATAGACACATAACGAAGATACAAAAATAATTTATAAGGATGAATGCAGAATTGAGAAGTTAAGCTTCTCAAGAATGTCTATCTCACTTAGGTGCTTTGAGAGAAAATGCTGCGGTGTGTCCGAGTAAGAAGTCTTCAAAATTATGAAGTTATTTGATAGGTTGGATACAAAACAAGTGTTTCCACTTACAGGGAGACTAAATATATAAGATACCCACCAGTAAATCGAAAAGACAATTCAGGTGAAGCTTCTTTATTTGAGAATTCTGCACTGAGAAACTCATCTCTTCTCTCCCCAAAAACTGTCTCTCATCTACAAGACACATGTCAAGAATGTGGTGAAATACTCTCCAATTGCCCCAATAAGTGCACTCACAACAACATTCGAGAAGCTTAACACTGTCTAGGACAAAACAACTGCTTGATTGCACTGACACACAGTAGCAGCTATGACTACTATCTACAGAATGCACTGCAGCAATTCAGCTAGGTTTGTTGGACAGCACATTCTGAACCTGGGGTCTTTACCACCTAGAAATACAGGACAGCACATGCGTGGGAACAGCACTACTACAAGTTTCCCTCCAAGCTGGAAACCATCTTAACTTGGAACTATTTTGTCAATCCTTCACTGTCGTAGGTCAAAATGAAATGTCAAAATCAAGTTAGATATTTTCAGTCCCTTATAGGAGAAGCACTGTTGCAAATAGTGTAAATATGTGTGAATAGTGCAAATATGTGTTGAATATTACATTTTTCTGCAAATGTTACGTAAGATAAGTGATTTCGAATCACTAAAGTAGAATTTTGTATTGCATATTTAGGTTGTCTTCTCCAAATCGTTCTCTATCCTGTCAGCCTGGCATTCAACAAACAAATCGGCAGTCACTGAAACTCAAAACACCACCAGCCACCACCTGTGCTGATCATTGCAGAGCAGGACAGGTATGTACTTCTTTAATTACGAAGGTATCTGAAGGAAAATATTTTATTACTTGCCTTAAAGCCATGATAGTATTGTATGCATCGTAGAGCACACATATTACAATACCTGTGAACCAACATTTGATCTTGAGGGAGCTCTGACCCATACAATTTCTGTAAATGGAAAGAAGTAGGGACAAGGTTGTTGGCTTGCTCACTGAGCTGGCTGTTATCGTTTTGTCACCATGCTAGGTAACGTCATCAGTGTGACCTCTGAAGCGATGTTATTCTACTCTGCTTGGAGTTTATATGATCCAGTCTGTTAAGTTGGTTGTGTCATTTCTGGTTCTTTTTGGCATGTGTTTGTATATGGGGTTTAATTTCCACATGTTTGTTGATTGCATTATGGGTTGAAAACCAGGCCTCTAGGAATTCCTGTGCGTGTCTGTGATTGGCTTGAGCTAGAATGGTCATGCTGTCCCAGTTAAATTGATGGCCTTAATTGTCCAAACAATGATTGCAACAACATTACATTGGCCAGAATGGAAGGAAACTAGCCATTAGGATACACGAACACCAGCTAGCAGCAAAACAACACGACAAACTTTCCTTCATCTCAGTGCACTTGGACAATGAAGGCCATCAATTTAACTGGGACAACATGACCATCCTAGCTCAAGCCAACTACAGACACGCACGGGAATTCCTAGAGGCCTGGTTTTCAAGCCGTAATGCGATTTTAAAAAAAAAAAATGTGGAATTAGACCCCATATATAAACCCATGCAAAAAAGAACCGGAAATCTCACAACCCAATTTAACAGACCGGATCATATAAATTCCAAGAGGACTAAAACAACATCATTTCATCAGAGGCCACACTGATGATTTTACCTAGCATGGTGACAAAACATCTGTATGATAACCAGCCAGCTCGGTGAGCAAGCCAACAACCTCATCCACAACCGGAGCTACAAATTTTCATAAGAACCTTAAAAAACTAGGGACAATTCTCTTAATTCCCCATGCCACATGTTCAATTTCATAGGGAAGTATGGCATCAAAAAGGGCAAAGATCATACTGGTGATTCTTTCTAACCCTTTTATTTATGATGAGAATTTCTGATGGGCTGACAGTGAGAGGAGGAACATGTCAGCTGAAAGTAGACAGGAGCTTAACTGCATTTTTCACATACCACGTTCAAATTATGCCATATAAATGAATGCCCAGGGATACTTACAGCTGAACTGGAAATAAGTTTATGGGTGTGTAAGAATATCCATTCAATAGATTTCCTGCCCCTTCAACTTTGCCAGTGATTTCTGACCAGCTAAGGTACCTCTTTGTTATGCTAAAGACCTTCAGAAGTTCATTCTGTGCAATGATGTTATGTCACGTGTAGTCAGCTCAAAACGAATCATAGAGCCGTAGAGATGTACAGCACAGAAACAGACCTTTCAGTCGATTTCATCCATGCTGACCAGATATCCTAAAGTAATCTAGTCCCATTTGCCAGCATTTGGCCCATATCCCTCTAAACCCTTCCTATTCATATACCCATTCAGATGCCTTTTAAATGCTGTAATTACACCTGCCTCCACCACTTCCTCTGGCATTTCATTCCATAGATGCACTACTCTCAGTGTGAAAAAGATGCCCCTTAGGTCCCTTTTTAAATCTTTCTCCTCTCACCTTAAACCTCTGCTCTCTAATTTTGGAGTCCCTTACCCTGAGGAAAAGACCTTGTCTATTCACTCTATCCATGCCCCTCATGATTTTATAAACTTCTAAAAAGGTCACCCTTTAGCCTCCGATGCTCCAGGGAAAATAGTCCCAGCCTATTCAGCCACTCCCTATAGCTCAAACCATCCAACCCTGGCAACATCTTGGTAAATCTTTTCTGAACCCTTTAAAGTTTAACAAAATCTTTCCTATGGCAGGGAGACTAGAATTGAATGCAGTATTCCAAAAGTGGCCTAACCAATGTCCTGTACATCCGCAAAATGACCTCCCAACTCCTATACTCAATGCACTGACCATAAAGTCAAGTGTACCAAATGCCTTCTTCACTATCCTGTCAACCTGGGACTTCACGTTCAAGGAACTATGAACCTGCACTCCAAGGTCTCTTTGTTTGGCAATACTCCCCAGGACCTTACCATTAAGTGTATACATCCTGCTCTGATTTGCCCTACCAAATGTAGCACCTCACATTTATCCAGATTAAACTCTATCTGCCACTCCTCAGCCCGTTGGCCAATCTGATCAAGATCCAGTTGTACTCTGCAGGTAACCTTCTTTGCTGGAGGTACTAACCATACCCGCTATATTCACATCCAATTCATTTATACAAATGATAAAAAGTAGTGGAACCACCATCGATCCCTGCGGGACATCGCTGGTCACAGGCCCCCAGTCTGAAAAGCAAACCTCCACCACCGCGCTCTGTTTCCTACCTTCTAGCCAATCGTATCCAAATGGCTACTTCTCCCTGTATTCTATGTGATCTAATCTTGTTAGCAAATCTACCGCGCGGAACCTTGTCAAGTGCCTTACTGAAGTGCATATAGACAACATCCACTGCTCTGCCTTCATTAATCCTCTTCATCACTTCTTCAAAAAACTCAATCAAGTTAGTGAGACATGGTTTCCCATAAACAAAGCCATGTTGACTATTCCTAATCAGTCCTTGCCTTTCCAAATACATATAAATCCTGTCACTCAGAATCCCCTCCAACAACTTGCCCACCACTGAAGTCAGGTTCACCAGTCTATAATTCCCTGGCTTTTCCTTACCACCTTTCTTAAAAAATGGCACCATGTTAGCCAACCTCCAGTCTTGTGACACCTCACCCGTGGCTATCAATGATACAGATGTTTCAGCAAGGGACCCAGCAATCTCTTCCCGAGCTTCCCACAAAGTTCTAGGGTACACCTGATCCAGTCCTGGGGATTTATTCACCATTATGCGTTTTAAGACATCCACCACCTCCTCCCCTGTAATATGGAAATTTTTCTGGATGTCACTATTTATTGCCCCAAGTTCTCTAGCTTCCATATCCTTCTCCACAGTAAACACTGATGCAAAATACCCGTTTAGTATCTCACCCATCTCGTGTGGTTCAACACATTGGCGTTCATGCCTAATACCAATAGAATTATTATCAATTGCCCGAAAGAGCTCCCCCACTGACACCTTAGTCACTTGCTCAGCCTTATTTCCCAAGAGTATGTCAAGTTTTGCTCCTTGTCTAGTAGGGACATCCACACACTAAATAAAAACATTTTCTGGCATGTACTTAATAACTTCCTCTCCATCCGATCCCTTCACACTCTGGCAGTCCCAGTCTATGCCTGGAAAGTTAAAATCCCCTACCATTACCACCTTGTTATTCTTATTGACAACTGGGATCTCCTTACAAATTTGCTTCTCAATTTCCTGCTGACAACTGGGGGGCCTACAGTATAACCCTAATAAGATGATCGTCCCTTTCTTATTTCTCAGTTCCACCCAAATAATTTCCCTGGATGTATTCCAAGGAATATCCTCCCTAAGTACAGCTGTAATGTTATCCCTAATCAAAAATGTCACTTCTCCTCTCCTGCCCACCACCACCCCCCCCACACGCCATAGCATCTGTACCCTAGAAAATTAAGCTGCCAGTCCTGCCCACCCCTGAGCCACATCTCTACAATAAATATGATATCCCAGTCCCGTATTCCCAACCATGCCCTGAGTTCATCTGTCTTGCCTGCCAGGCCTCTTGCATTGAAATAAATACAGTTTAATTTATCAGTTCTACCTTGTTCTCTGCTTTGCTCCTGCCTGCCCTGACTATCTGACTTGCTCCTTTTTCCAACTGGACCAGCCTCAGACTGATTCCTTTTTATCACTATCTCTCTGGAAGCAACCCCACTTGCTTACTAGTTTAAATCCTCTCGGGTGGCTCTAGCAAATCTCCTTGTTAGTATATTTGTTCCCTTCCGATTCAGGTGCAACCAGTCCTTCTTACACAGGTCACTCCCACCCCAGAAGAGATTACAATGATCCAAAAATGTGTATTGTTGCCCTCTGCACCAGCTCCTCAGCCATGCATTCATCTGCTCTAGCCTTCTATCCCTACTCTTTTTAGGACGCTGCACCGGGTGTAATCCAGATATGACGACCATCGAGGACCTACTTTTTAACCTCCTGCCTAATTTCCTGTATACCTTCCTTAGAATCTCATTCTCTTCTCTTCATATGTCATTGGTTCCAACATGTACAACAACTTCCTGCAGTTCTCTCTCCCGTTTTGAGAATCTTCTGCACCCTCTCTGAGACAACCTTGACCCAGCACTCGGGGGTCAACACACCATTCTAATTATCTCATTGCCGGCCACAGAAACATCTGTCTGTGCCTCTGACTAGAGAGTCCCCTACCACAACCGATCGCTTCGAACCTAGCATACCTCTCGTTTTGGTGTACCCAGTTTCGATACTAGAAACCTGGCTGTCAGTACTACATTCTCCTAAGAGTCCATCACCCCCTACATTTTCCAAAACAACATATTTGTTTGAGATGGGGTTAGCTACAGGAGACTCCTGCACTACCTGCCTACCTTTCCTAGAGTTAACCCATCTACTCGATTGTATCTGCAGATTTTCTACTTTCTTGAAACTGATATCCATTACACACCTTAGCTCTTGTAAATTATTCTGAAGAGATAGTGAGAAAAGAGATAAATCTGAGGCTGGTACAGTAGATGAAGGGAGCAAGTTAAATAGCCAAAGCAGGCAAGAGCACCCCAGAGAACGAAGTAAGACTGCTAAATTAAACTGCATTTATTTCAGTGCAAGAGGCCTGACAGAAAAGGCAAATGAATTTAGGGCATGGTCGGAACATGGGACAGGTCTTTCATAACTATTACAGAAATGTGGCTCAGGAAAGGGCAGGACTGACAGCTTAATGTTCTGGGGATAGATGCTGTAGGATGGATAGAAAAGTGGGGAGAGGTGCAAAATGTCCGGTGAAGAATGTAAGGTGGAACTGAGAAATAAGAAAGGGATGATCATCTTATTGGGATTGTACTATAGATCACCCAATAGTCAGCAGGAAATTGAGAAGTAAATAGGTAAGGAGATCTCCGATATCTGTAAGAATAATAGGATTGCAATGGTAGGAGATTTTAACTTTCAAAATATAGACTGGGTCTGCCAGAGTGTTAAGAGCTTCGATGGAGAGGAATTTGTTAAGTGTGTGCAAGGAAATTTTCTTGTTGAATATGTAGATTGCCCTACTAGAGAAAGAGCAAAACTTGAACTTCTTTTGAGAAATTAGGCAGGGCAAGTGACTGAGGTGTCACTGGGGGAGCACTTTGGGGTAAGTGATCATTATTCTATTGGTTTTAATATAGTTATGGAAAAGGATAGACTTTATCTAAAAATTAAAGTTCTAAGTTGGAAGAAGGCCAAATTTGACAGTATTAGGCAGGAACTTTCAAAACTTGATTGGGGGTAAAGGGATGGCTAAAAATGGAAAGCCTTCAAACATGAAATAATGAGAGCTCAGAAACAGTATGTTCCTTTTAGTGCGAAGGGCAAGGCTGGTAGGTGTAGGGATTGGTGGATGACTAGAAAAATTGAGGCTTTGGTCAAGAAAAAGAAGAAGGCGTATGTCATATATAGACAGCTGAGATCGAGTGAATCCATAGAGGAGTATAAGGGCAGTAGCAGTGTACTTAAGAGAGAAATCAGGAAAGCAAAAAGGGGACATGAGATAGTTTTCACAAATGGGGTTAAGAGAATCCAAAGAGATTCTACAAATACATTAAGGGCAAGAGAGTAATTAGAGAGACAATAGGGCCCCTTAAAGATCAATGAGGTCTTCTATGTGTGGAACCACAGGAGATGGGTGAGGTACTAAACAAATATGTTTTGCTCGTATTTACTGTGCAGAAGGACATGGACATTAGGGAACTTGAGGAAATAAATAGTGATAACTTGAAAAGTGTCCATATTACAGAGGGGGAGGTGCTGGATGTCTTAAAATGCTAAAAGGTAGATAAATCCCTGGCACCTGATCAGGTTTATCGCAGAACTTTGTGGCAAACTAGTGAAGACATTGCTGGGCCCCTTGCTGAGATATTCATATCATTGACAGCCACAGGTAAGATGCCTGAAGACTGGAGGTTGGCTAATGTGGTGTCATTACTTAAGAAAAGTGGTTAGGAGAAGCCAGGAAATAATAGACCAGTGAGCCTGACATCAGTGGTGGGTAAGTTGTTGGAGAGGATTCTGAGGTACAGGATTTCCATGCATTTGCAAAGGCAAGGACTGATTAGGGATCATCAATATGGTTTTGTGCTTGGAAAATAATGTCTCAATAACTTGATTGACCTTATTGAAGAGGTAACAAAGAAGATTGAAGGCCGAGTAGTAGACATTGTTTATATGGACTTCAGTGAGGCATTCAACAAAGCTCCACGTGATATACTGGTTAACAAGGATAGATCACATGGAATCCAGGGGCAGCTAGCTAATTGGAGACAGAGGGTGAAGGGTAGAGATTGCTTTTTGGACTGGAGGTCTGTGACCAGCGGCGTGCCACGAGGATCAGTGTGGGTTCACTGCTTTTTGTGATTTATATAAATGATTTGGATGTGAATATAGGAGGAATGATCAGTAAGTTTTCAGATGACATCAAAATTGGTGGTGTGAACAATGAAGAAGGTTATCTCAGAGGACAATGGGACCTTAATCAGATGGGCTGAGGAGTGGGAGGTGGAGTTTAATTTAGGTAGATGTGAGGTGTTGCATTTTGGTAAAGCAAACCATGGCAGGACTTGCGCAGTTAATGGTAGGAACCTGGGGAGTGTTGCTGATCAGAGACCTAGGGGTGCAGGTGCATAGTTCTTTGAAAGTAGATTCTCAGGTAGACAGGGTGGTGAAGAAGGCGTTTGGTATGCTTGCCTTCATTGGTCAGCGCATTGAGTATAGGAGTTGGGATGTCATGTTGTGGCTGTACAGCACATTGGTGAGCTCACTTTTAGAATGCTGTATTCAGTTCTTGTCTCTCTGCTATGGCAAAGATATTGTTAAACTTGAAAGGGTTCAGAAAATATTTACAAGGCCATTGCTGGGATTGGAGATCTTGAGCTATAGGGAGAGACTGAATAGGCTGGGGCTTTTTTCCCTGGAGCTTGAAGTCTGGGGTGTAACCTTATAGAAATTTACACAATCATGAGGGGCATGGTGAATAGTCAAGGTCTTTATCCCAGGATGGGGGAGTCCAAAACTAGAGGGCATAGGTTTAAGGGGGCAGATTTAAAAGGGATCGGAGGGGCAAATTTTTCACACAAACGGCGGTTTGTGTATGGAATGAGCTGCCAGAACGGATGATGGAGGTGGATGCAATTACAAAATTTAGAAGGCATCGGGATGGATACATGAATAGGAAGGGTTTAGATGGATATTGGTCAAATGATGGCAAATAGGACTAGATCAGTTTAGGATATCCATTCGGCACGAACGAGTTGGTCTAAAGGGTCTGTTTTTGTGCTGTATAACACTATTACTCTTTGACTCTATAACTGTTATTGGGAATGACGAATATCCTCAGACCAGGAGACAGGAGCACAAAACAGACCAGACTTTAAAAAAAGACACACTTTTTAAAAACCAGATTTTCTGATAATTTTACCTATTCTGCATCTGTGCAACCATTGTGGCTGCATTTACAATTTTGCCTAATATTAAAGAATCTAAATAATAGATGAAACAAAATATAACTTATTTGGGGTAATCCCTTTTATAGAAATATTTCTGTGCTGTGCACATTAGAAATCTGTGACAGTAATTGTAAGGGCTAGCACAGGGAGAAAAAGTGGAGATGCTACGGTGTTGATGCAGAAATGTTGTGTATGCAATAAGTTTGCAAACGTACTAAGAATATTAAACGTGTATTGCAATCTATTGGAATATGTTTTAAAGAATAGAGTGATCTGAATGTATTTGCTGCTGTTTGGTGTTGTAGGAGCTCTGCTACCTTTGCATGCAACGAGCTCTAAAGAATTTCCCTATCGATGTTTCGGAGAACAGAAGAAGAAGGGAAGAGGAGAATGAACAAATATTACAGCAATATCAGCAAATAAAAGATCAGCAGGCGCTCTTCCAGGAGCAGGTTATCTAAAATTATGAGCAAAACGTAACTGCGGAATTCTATTGGAGTATGCACATGTGATGATACATTAATGATAAGTTGACCATTTGGCAATGGCTTTTTAAAACTAGCTAAGAACATATCGTGTTTGGGCAAGGTATATAATGGACAACTCATCCAAACCAGTAGTTTTATGCCCTGCTGAAGTTGGTCATCTTGTCCACATTATAATAGTGAAAAAGAAATAATTGGTTTTGGAATAATTGGCATCCTAACTTAATAGACAATAGAAACAGCAGCAGTAAACAGTAGTCAAGAATTTATTCAACTTGCTCAATATTCATCCTGCATGCCTATTCTTTTGGCATTATTAGGACTGACTTTTCTTCTTTCCAACTGGATACTAGTCAGGCATAGTGTATCCAAACAAAAACAGAAGTTGCTGGAAAAGCTCAGCAGGTCTGACAGCATCTGTGAAGAAAAAAAATCAGAGTTAACATTTCGGGTCCGGTGACCCTTCCTCAGAACTGGGTT